ACTCCTGCCCAGCTCCACATGGGCTACCCAGGCTGGTAACACCAGGCAGTGACACCTCCACAGCCTCCCCCAGGGAACGCTCCCCGGGAGAGACCCCTGCCCAGCGCCGAGTGGGCTACCCAGGCTGGTAACACCGGGCAGTGACACCGTGGGGGGGATTTACTGACTTAAACCCAGCAAACCCTTCACCCCCGAGAATAGGGCGGGGGCAGGAGAAACGGCAGAAAGGCGGGGACCCCGTTCCCTTAGACACCACGGTCTGAATGCAGGCGGCACGCGAGCGGTGCGCTCAGCTCTGAGACACCCACTGGCCTGTCGGGCATTTTCCCCATCAAACCAGGTAGCTGCTTGCCTGGGGTCCACCCTGCCTGTGAACCTTCGCGCCCCTGCTCGCCGCTCCTGTGCCAGGCCTGCGTTGTTCTCGTGTGGAGACGAACCTTTGCTGCAGCCATCTGCACTGACGTGGGCGCCAGTCCACGGCAGCGAGAGCACAGGGGTCGTGTGGCCTGTGTCTGGCACCTGAGAGGCGCGGGTGGCCTCGAGGGGCTTCGGTCCTTCGGCGTTCCTGGGGTGGGGGTGGGAGCTGGCTGCTGTCTGTTTCACATTTTCAGCTGTCTCTACGCCAGACACAGAGTCTGCCTTCAGTTTCTCAGCCACGTTTGAGGGTCTGCGATACGTGGGAGGCTGCGGCCCTCACGCACGGGAACGTAGCTGCCCGCTCGGAGTCTGGGCTGTCCAGCTGTCGGTCGGAGCAGGGGACTGGGGCAGCACCAGAGAATGCAAACACAAACCCACGAGCGAGGCCGCGGGGCTGCAGCGGCTGGGGAGGTTTGAAGTCGGACGTTCTCGGAATGGGCACCCGGGGCTGCTCTGCGGGGAGAGACAGACCTGCTGGGGGGCGGGCCGGCGACACAGGTTCCGCTGTGGCCATCCCGGGTCCCTGCAGGCTCAATGAACAAGCCGAGCTGCTGGGGGGCGGGCCAGCGACACAGGTTCCGCTGTGGCCATCCCGGGTTCCTGCAGGCTCACTGAGCAAGCCGAGGATGAGTGTACGTTGTGATGTTTTTATGTAGAACAAATTGCGTGTGTTTAGCATATACAGATTTAAGAGCGTGGTGATACTTCCCATCCTACCCTCTCCCTCCTCCGCCCTCCCTTCCTATTTTAATTTTTACAGTGACATACTTACACCTTATACTCTCAAGCTTAACCCTCCTCTAAGTGGAGTTCAACAAGTGGTGAGTAGAAAAACCACTGTTGCTCGGGGTGTAGACGGGCTGTGGGCAGTGGCCCGATCTGAGAGAGCCAGTCCCGCTCACGCAGGTGCCCTCACTAGGTCTCAGGAGCAGTTTTGGGAGACAGCCGTGCCCCGGCGGCAAGGTATTGGCACAGCTGCGGCAGTTCCCACGGCACCTCCCGGGAGCCCGCCGGGTGCCTGCCACCTCGGAGGTCCCCATGCGTGGCTCTCGGCTTCCCCAGAGCGGTGTGAGGCTGACGTCACAGGTGCTCCATTCACTGTCGGAGTCACCTAAGCGGGCTGTGCTCACCACCCCCTCAGGTCTGCACGTTACAGGTGCGGGGCGGCTGTGGGAAGGTTGTGACACCTGCCATGGGCGGCTGGAAGCCATTGCAGGCTTGGTCAGCTGCACTCCCGGCGCACCCAGCGTGGGCCCCGCCTCAGCCTTGCCCGGTGTCTGCCCTGCTGGCCGGGAGGGTGACAGGGGGACAGACAGGGTGGGCAGTCCCAGGGGCTGGGGCCTCAGAACCCACCTCTGCCCCGGGTGGGTGGGGGTCTTGCACCTCTCCTTTGGGGTGGGGGCAGCACAGGCTCCTGCGATGAAAGCTGGGCGGGGCTCACCGCGGTAGTCGGTGCTGCCCACATAGGGCGCTTTCCCCACGGAGCGGCCAGTCCCTCGGGGCTGGTCTTTTACTCGCAGTCAGTGACGCGTGAATTGTATCAACAGCGGGTTCGGGTCGGTGTCTGGTGCTGGCTGAGGAGCTGGTGGGCGCAGGGGCTGTGAGAGGAGGGGCGCGTGTGTCCTGGAGGTGGGAGGACCCCAGCCCGCCCCAGACACAGCGAGGGAGGCCGAAGGGGTGCGGGGAGCGGGTCAGGCCTGTGTGCTGGCCGTCCATGGTCCATGGTAAACATGCGGCGATCAGCATTGGCGGGGGCACGTCTTCCGCCTGGGCCAATCTGTACGGCCCGGAGGGGAGGCGGGGGCAGGTCAGCTGAGTGACCTCGGCGTCCTGAGTCCCTGGCATGGGGCATGGACAGGGGTCCCCGGAGGCTGGGCGCCACAGCAGGCGGGCTGGGAAGCGCCCGCCCTGTGCGGTCTCCTGCCCTAACCAGGGCACGGAGCACCTGCCCTGCAGGGGGCGCTGCTGTGCAGGGGGGCATTGGGGGCGTGCGTGTCACACTCCACTCGGTTCCGGCCACAGACACGGGGCCTGGCGGGCGCTCGAAAGCCGGGGCCTGTGCTCGGGGAATGGGCATGAAGTCGGAGCCAGTGGAGGTGGCGCAGGGGAGTCGGCGGGGTGGGCCTCGCAGGGCGTGACCGCCCCGCGGCCGTCCTGGCGGCGGCTCAGTCTACGTGGTGACCCCGAGCTCCCCAGTTTCCAGGATTGGGGAGAAAGCTGCCTGGGAGCCAGTGTGGACCGGGCACGCGACGGAGCGCGTCCCGCCCGAGGAAGGGGAGGCGGCCAGCGTCCTCGGCCTGTGGGATCCCGGGGCAGGCGGCCGCCTCGGGCCCCCGCGCCCCAAGTCCTGTCCCGTGGCGGGGGCTGAGCTCCGGCGAGAAGGGAGGCCACACCGGGGTGGCCACGTCCGGCGCGAGGCGGGAGGGGAATGCGCCGCACCTGCGCGGGCCAGGGCGCCGCCGCGGGGCTGAGACCGGGCGCACCTGGCGTCGGTGGGCAGCGTGGCGAGGGGACGAGGCGCCCCTACCCGAGCTCGGCGCTGGGAAGTGGGGTCCACACCGCCGTCCTCACTCGCGCTGCCCAGCAGCTCCCTTTGCTGTCCTCACGGGCCAGGATCCCACCGGGCCGCAGCCGCCCCTGCCGCCCGCCTGGGGCTCCCCGGGCAGCGCCGCGGTCCCGCGCTCGGCCGCGCCCAGCTCCAGCAGCCGCGCCCGCAGCGCCTCGCGCTCGGCCTGCAGCTCCCGGCTCGCCCGGGCCACGGCTCGCTCCGCCTCCCGCAGCGCCCGGCGCCCGCGCTCCAGGGCGCGCTCGCCCCGCGCCACGGCCGCCTCGCGCCGCTCCAGCTCGCGCTCGCGCCGGCTGCCACGCATGGCCAGCGCGCCCATCTGCTCCAGCAGGCGCGCCCAGTCGCCCTCGGCGCGCTCGGCCGCGGCTCCCGGTGCAGGCCGGCGGGCGCCGCTCTTCTCCAGCTCGGGCCGGTGCGCGCGCTCCAGGTGCTGCCACAGCGCCGCGGTCCCGGCCGGCGAGCCGGGGTCGCCGCCCACCTGCTCCCCGCACAGGCGACAGGTGGCACAGTGGCCCGACGGGCACCCGGGGCGCGCGGGGGCCAGGTGGAAGTAGCCCCAGGCTTCGGAGTAGGGCGCCCCCAGGCGGCCGGGGCCCGGCCCGCCCTGCTCGGGGGCGGCCGGCAGCTCCTCGCTCCTCATCGCCTGCGGAGAGGCGTGTGCGTGGCTGCGGTGCGGGGGCCGCTGTCTCCCGAGGAGCGCTCGCGGGGGCACCCGGAGCGGGTGTGGCGCTGGTCCCCGCGCGCGGCCCGGCCTCCTGACGGTCGCTGGTGGCTACGCTGCCTTTGCTGGCAGATCCGGGGGCTTCTTGTCTGGGGGTGGCAGAGCCGGCGTCAGGAGCAGCGGAAGTGGCGCTCCGGGCGTGGAAGGCGCTCTTGGCGCGGACAGGCGCGGTGCGGGGCCGGGCAGCGCTTCTCTTTCTGCGGCTGTAAAAGCAACCAGGTTAGGCGTTGGCAGTACCGGACTCCGTTCACACTGAGCAGAGCAGCACCCACGCGGCCCGCGCGGGGACCTGACGAGGGGCTCCTCTGTGTGCTTGGTACCTTGAGGAAGCACAACCACCAGTCCGTGCGAGAGGCGGCGGGTCAGCGCGGGAGGACCCGCAAGGCTGACCAGGGCTGGTGGGGTTTCTCTCAGGAGCTTCCCCGAGGTCAGGCGTGAGACTCCGCACAGAGCACGCGCGTGCAGTCCTGAGCTCCGGCGAGACCCCGGCACGGTGAGCGGCCGTGGGCTGCCTGGGCTGTCGGGCTCGGGCCCTGGCGGAGGGGAGAGAACGCCCAGGAGCCCTCGGTCCTGCACGGCTAGGCGTGGGAAGGGCACAGGAGTCACTGCAGCGCTCCTGGTCGCTGTGTTGTACTTCTCCAAACCCACTTCTCACCACGCACGCCCGCTCAGGACCACGCCAGCGTCAGTGTGTCTCCAAACCCACTTCTCACCACGCACGCCTGCTCGGGACCACGCCAGCGTCAGCGTGTCTCCAAACCCACTCCCTCCCACCACGCACGCCCGCTCGGGACCACGCCAGCGTCAGCGTGTCTCCAAACCCACTCTCTCCCACCACGCCCGCTCTGGGCCATGCCAGCGTCAGCGTGTCTCCAAACCCACTTCTCACCACGCACGCCCGCTCAGGACCACGCCAGCGTCAGTGTGTCTCCAAACCCACTTCTCACCACGCACGCCTGCTCGGGACCACGCCAGCGTCAGCGTGTCTCCAAACCCACTCCCTCCCACCACGCATGCCCGCTCGGGGCCACGCCAGCGTCAGCGTGTCTCCAAACCCACTCTCTCCCACCACGCCCGCTCTGGGCCATGCCAGCGTCAGCGTGTCTCCAAACCCACTTCTCACCACGCACGCCCGCTCGGGGCCACGCCAGCGTCAGCGTGTCTCCAAACCCACTTCCACCACGCATGCCCGCCCGCTCGGGGCCACGCCAGCGTCAGCGTGTCTCCAAACCCACTTCCACCACGCATGCCCGCCCGCTTGGGGCCACACCAGCATCAGCGTGACTGACACTGTCTGAAAAGGTGGCAGCCTGAGCAGACTCCTCTCACAGACGGCTGCTGATACACCCGCGTGCGGCCCGCACTCTCTACTGGCGTCTGAGGGCTGCGTTTCCCCGGAGACCAAGTAGCTGATGTCCCGGAAGCGGGAGGAGGAGTTAAGGCACCCTGAGCAGCGGGTGCTGCGCCGTTACGGCCAGCGAGCACCGGGAGACTGCGGTCTAGAAAGGCTATTTTAGTTCTAATTTGAGAGAGAAGGGGCCAGCAAGCCGGACCCATCTGCTGCTCATTCTCAGTGCCCGCGCCGGCTGGCGCTGGGAACTCGACCCCCACAAGGGTGCGTGAGCCCAGGTACTGAGCCGGCACTGTCGCCGCGCAGGGCTGCTTTGTGGGGAGCAGGAGCTGGGGCTGGGACGTGAGCCCAGGTGCCCGAGGGGGCCGGCGTCCTGAGCCCTGGGGCACAGGCCTGCCGGGCAGCGGGCAGCGTCTCAGCATCCAAGTTCTCCTCCGCCTTCCTCTTAGAATTCACTCTCCTCTGCGAGTGGGCGCCTGGCTCCTTCGATGGCCGGACGTGCGCAGACAGGGGAGCACAGTGCCGGACCCCTGTCCCGCACTCCTCAGCCACGAGCAGACCCAGCCTGTGCCAGTGGCCGCGCTGTGTCCCCGTGGGCCCTGAGCAGGGGGCTCACAGCTGCACAGAGCCTGCAGGGGCTGGCGGGAGCCTCGGACGGCCAGCGCTGACCCCGCAAGAGGTCTCTGGGTCGCCCAGAGGAGCGCCACAGGCGTGAGTGCTGTCTGGTGGGCGCCCGGGTGCCAGGAGGAGCCCTGGGCCTGGGGACTGTGGGCTGGCGCGGCGCTGCCCCGGGGCGGCAGGGGGGCCTTGGCCAGGCAGCCCTTTGCTGTCGGAGGTCCTCACCGGCAGGAACAGCACGGCAGGGGCTGCTCACCTTCTCAGTCCTCCACGTCACGCTGCCCGGTGACCGGCGTGACGGCCACGGATCCCGCGCCCCCCTGGGGGAGGGGGCCCCCGAGCCACCCACCTGCGCGGCAGCGAAGCCTCCGCAGTCCACAGCCAACAGGGCGCGCGCAGGACCTGACGAGCCGACGCCTGGAAGAGCGGGACACAGAGTAGGTGGACGTCCGGAGAGCAAAGGCGGGCGGCCGGGGAGTCTTGAGCTCGCGCGCAAGCAGCCGCAAGGCGCAGCGACAAAGATGAGCTGTGACAGAGCCAGAGGGGGCGGGGAGGACGGCACGGCCACGCGTGGGATGGGGTTGAGAAAGCCGTGCCCGTGCCCATTAAAAATGACGTCCTCACAGACCCCACTCCTGGGCCCTGTCCTGTAGAGCCGGAAGCACAGCACATCCAGTCCTGTGCGAGGGGGAGTGCGCCCCAGGTTGATTAGGATGGAAAATCCCGAAGGAGCGGGAGGACGGCTGAGCGCTTCACGCGGCTCACGCTAGGGGGCGCCCGCAGCCACCGTCCTGGGCATCTCCTGGTCGGGGGGGGGGCACAAGAGTGGGATCCCACAGCGATTGGCTCGTACACGGATCCGTGCGGGAGACCCAGTTACAGGTTCTTAATGGTTGGGTCACACGGATCTGTGAAGGAGACCCAGGTACAGTTTTTTGTTGTTGTTGTTGTTGTTGTTGTTGTTGTTTTTCACAGGCAGAGTGGACACTGAGAGAGACAGAGAGAAAGGTCTTCCTTTACCGTTGGTTCACCCCGCAAATGGCCGGCTCGCTGCGCTGATCCGATGGCAGGAGCCAGGTGCTTCCTCCTGGTCTCCCATGTGGGTGCAGGCACCCAAGCACTTGGGCCATCCTCCACTGCCCTCCCGGCCACAGCAGAGAGCTGGACTGGAAGAGGAGCAGCTGGACTAGAACCCGGGGTGCGGGCGCCACAGGCGGAGGATTAGCCTAGTGAGCTGCAGCGCCGGCCCCAGTTACAGGTTCTTAATGATTGGATCCGTGCAGGAGACCCAGGTACAGGTTCTTAATGGTTGGGTCACACGGATCTGTACAGGAGATCCGGATACGGGCTCTGAACAGGGGGTTACTTCCCGCTAAACCCTCACAGGGTGGAAGTCAGCCGAGTCGAGATGCAGTGTCTCCCCCAGCCTGTAACCCACCCCCTGCTAGCTGCCGTCACTGAGGCCGGGGCAGAAGAGAAGGCACCGGTATTTACTGCTGCCTCGTCCGCCCACGTTGAGACTTTGGTGGTTCAACGTCAGCGTCGCTGCCTCTCTAACATCAGGTGATTCCGTGCAATGGTGGTCTGAGTCGGCAGGACGCCCTTGGAGAATGGGCCAGGGCACAGTGTGGACACTGTGGCACGGCAGGTCACCCACGGGGCGCTCATCCCACGCCGGAGCGCCTGCCGTGGGCCTAGGCTACACCGCTTCGGACCCCGCTTCCTGCTGCTGCACCCGGGAGGCAGTGCTGTTGGCCCGAGGACTTGGTTTCCTGCCACCCACGTGGGGGACCTGACGCAGTTGCTGGCTCCTGGGTCTGGTGCGCCCCAGCCCTGCTTGTTAAGGGCATTTGGGAATCAACCAGTGCACGACAGCTCTGCCTGCTCCCCTGTAATCCCTCCCTCCCTCCCTGCCATTGTGCTTTTCAAATAGACTTTAAAATACCAGATCCAAGAGCCTCACCCCAGTTTATTCTTACTTCCTAAATTAACCTTCATGCAAAACAGGTTGCTCAGGACTCAGGTAAAAGATGGGGGGGGGGGTGGCCTGACCAGTAGCCCCACGATGCAGATTTCTCCTGTAAAGTATCCGACAGAATGCATTGGCATTAATGTGTGTTGAGCTAACCAGAAAAAACGAGAAGTTCCCCTTTCATTTCCCTTCATTTTCATGGCAGCGCAGAGGGCCGGCTGCGTGGTCTTCCTGCGCGCGCTCCCCCACCAGCTCTTCACGTGGGTGCTCTGTGTCCCTGCCCTCGGGGCCAGGCCCAGCATTCCCGGAGGAGAACACGGCTCCTGCCCTCAGGAAGCCAATCCGAGGTGCCACTGACAGTAACTCGAGGCCCCGGCAAAGTGCTGTCTGGGGCTCACCCATCAGAGTTCATCCCATCACGATGCCCAGCCAGGGGCAGCTTCTGGCGCTGAGGCCTTGGGGGCCAGCACAGCCTTCCTCCTGCTCTAACCCCCTCTTCCTGGCGCCCGGGGCACCGTGGGATCCACCGCCAGCACCAGTAGTGCGCGGCCCTGAGGGAGCTCTGGTTCTTCGCTTGCGTGACCAGGCTTCGATGGCCTGTCTGAAACGTCTGAAAGCTCAATACAAGCACTGCCAGCATGAAATGAACTTTGCGGCGGAAAGTTTTGAGTTCAACTTCAGGGGAAAGAAAAAATACGCGGAGTTCAGGTCCTTGATGGCAGGGGAGGGGGCTAACTGCTGGCACCGTGCCCCCAGACCCTCCGGTGGCCGGCTTTGGTTTCGGCGTCTGCAGCTGGGAGGGTGACAGGAAGCCCCGCGTGATGCACACTCGCTGTCTCTGCCTTGGAGTCTGTGCCTGAGGAAGCCCGCCCCCCTAATGCCCACCAGACCACGGCCACACTGCCCAGGGCCATCTCCTGGGAGAAGAGATGGCGTAGGTGCTGGCCCAGCAACCCCACGAAAGGTAACTTCATTACTGTCTGCGACCCTTCCACTCGGGGAGAGAGAGAGACACACACACACACGTACACACGCACACCCGCACACCTGTGTTCTCGGAAATCACAAATGGAAGGCAGCTCCATCGGGTTAAGGAGGCAGAGACAGTTTGTGTCGGCCGGGCTGATCTGTCCGGGAGGAATTCCGAGAGAGGGTGTGGACACCCTGAGAACACTCTCGCTCACTCTGGAGACTTCACGCAAAGCGGACACCGGCGTCCGAACACGCGGTTAGCACGGGCAGCGGAGGGGTCCGGGAGCCCGTCCAGCAGCGGCTGGCTGGCTGTCTACGGAGTTTCTGCCCCATGTTTACCTTTTGTACACATATCCGGGCAGTTAGAGAAAATCGGCTGGAATTACCAGGCTGGAGGCTTGGAGGAAGGCGAGGCAGGGTGCAGCCGGGGTCAGCTGGGCACCTGTGTGCGGGAGGCGAGGCAGGGTGCGGAGGCCTGGAGCAGGGTGCCCGGACCCTAAGTGCTGCACTGGGCCGACCGCTGACCGATGCATCGCGCGCCTGGAGGCGGGAGGCGGGAGGCACTGCTGTCCCGCACTCACAGACTGTAACGCACTCTCGGAACAGGACCTGCGTGCCAGACCTGCGTGGCCTCGTCTAATGCCCAGAGCTCTGAAGAGGGGGCCACAGCTTTGTGAAAACGCGCGATTTCCTGTGCATCCGGGCTGAGAGCCGCCGGCTCCGGGCCCCGCGCTCCGGGCTCCGGGCTCCGGGCTCCGGGATCCCGGCTCCGGGCTCCGCGCTCCGCGCTCCGGGCTCCGGGCTCTGGGCCCCGGGCCCCGGCTCCGGGCTCGCGGCTCCGGGCTCCGCGCTCCGGGCTCCGGGCTCCGGGCCCCGGGCCCCGGCTCCGGGCTCGCGGCTCCGGGCTCCGCGCTCCGGGCTCCGGGCTCCGGGCCCCGGGCCCCGGGCTCCGCGCCCCGGGCCCCGGGCTCCGCGCTCCGCGCTCCGGGCTCCGCGCTCCGGGCTCCGGGCCCCGCGCCCCGCGCCCCGCGCCCCGCGCCCCGGGCCCGTTTCCATTGTGTTTGCTTTCTCCTGTCGCTCCGGGGGAGCCGCTGGAGCCCCAAGTTAACAAACGAGAAGACAATGACCGAGTGCGTGGCTTACTCGGCCATTTCTCTTTACCAAGTTTGCCCCTAACAGCTCGCCCTGCGGTGGCGACCCGGGGCGGGGGCGTGCGGTGCGGCCCACGGGAGCCCGAGCCGCGCCGAGGCCGGAGGTCTGGGGCAGGGGCGCCCCGGAAAGCGGGCAACTCGGTGAGTCGGTCAGAGCGCGGCCCTGGGCCCCGCGTCCCGGTAACCTCGCGGGAGGAGGCGCGGGGCCTTCCTCGCGGCCTCCCGCTCCGCCGCCTGGGCGCGCGCTCCCGCCTCCCCGCGCCCGCGCCCGCGCCCGCACTCACCCGGTCCGCGGCCGATGGCCCAGTGCGCTCTCGGGGCCGTGAGGCGGGCGCCGGCGGGGAGGCCGCAGGCGGGCTCGGCGGTGGGCGCGGCGGCGGGGGCTCCGAGGGACAGTGACCCCCGTCGGCGGGACGCGCGCCCGTGCGGCTCGGCGGGGCCGGGGGCGGGGCCGGGGGCGGGGCCGGGGGCGGGGCCGGGGGCGGGGGACCGAGGCCGGTGAGGGGGGGGGACCGGGGCCGGGGGCCGGGGGCGGGGCCGGGGGCGGGGGGACCGGGGGCGGGGCCTGGACCGGGGGCGGGGCCAGGGCCGGGCCGGGGCGGGACCGGGGGCGGGGCGGGGGGCCCGGGTGCTGGTACGGAGGCTGGGCCTGGGCCGGGCCGGGGGCGGGGACTGGCCCGGGGGCGGGGCCTGGGCCATGGCCTTGTCTCCAGCAGCTTCGCTCCAGCGGCGTCTGCACCGTTGCTGGAAAGGCAGGGCAGGCGACGACCAGGTTGAAGCCGCCTGCACACATCTTGCCGTGGACACGGTTCTGAGGTTTCTTGTCGCAAGGGTCGCCTTGGGCGCCTCAGAACCCGCCCGACTTCAAGCCGTCATATCCTAATTCCTCCACAGCCCCCCGCCGCGGGCCGAGGGCTGCCTTCACCCGAGCAGCAGGTGCTTCCAGAACATTCTGCGGCGAGCCCGGGTGAGAAGTGGGGCAGAGGAGGGGTCAGCCGCCGGCAGCTGGGCGGAGCCGCGCGTCCAGGCCTGGAAAATGCGGCTGCAAGTTCGCCTTTGTGGTCCTAACAAGCTGTGCTCTGGACGTGTTTTGCAAGCCTGTCTTAAGCTTCCTGCAGGTTTCACGTCAATGTTGAATCAAAATGAGTTCTAGACCCGGTCACTCCTCTGCTTGCCCACACCGCCTGGGGGTTCAGCGTGAGGACCTCCGTTGGGACCGACCCCCGGGCTGCTGTGAGCCTGACTTTGCCCCGACGACGTGCCGCGTCCCCGGGGCTGAGAGCTGGCCAGGCACGGGCACCTGCGTGCCATGGCGGTTGGAGGGGTCACCTCCAGATTGGACAGAAATGACGGCGTTCAGATCCGCTGTCCACCCCTCATCAAAGGCCGGGTGGGAGGCGCGCTCCTGGGCCCTGGGGTGACGCAGCTGGGTGCCTGCCTGCACCCGGGCACGTCCGAGGTGTGCTCTGTCTGGTGTTCTCCCCTTTGGCTGTTGGTGTCTGCTTTGGTACCACGAAAATACCAGCCTCATGCAACGAGGTGGGACGTTCCTCTTCTGTTTTTGGAAGACTTTCTGAAGAAATGGTGGCTTGCTTTATGGGTAGGGTTTTGGTTACTAATTGCCTCATTTCACTTTGTGTAGATCTATGCAGATGGTCTGCTGCTTCTTAAAATTTTATTAATATAAAGAGAACATGTTCCAAGTATTCCATAGGTTCAGCTCCTAGGAGATAGGCATGCCTCCTCCCTCTCCCTATCAACCCCCTTCCTTCCTTTTTCATTAATTTTTACAAAAACGTAATTCAGTCCGCTCTGTAATCATAGGCGGATGGCAGCACTAACCAGGACACTCAACAAGTATGAAGAAAGGCCACAGTTCCACGAGGGCTAAAACAACAATCAGATTACAAGATGGCACTTTCACGTCCATACTTTTTTTTGTATTCTGTACTAACTACCACATATAAAAAAATTTATCTTTTTTGGGACTGGCCTATTCCATTAAGCATAATGGTTTCCAGTTGCATCCATTTTGTTGCAGAAGGCAAGATTTCACTCTTCTTTTATGGCTGAGCGGTATTGCAGAGAGTATTCACACCACATTTTCCTTATGCAGTCAGTCATCAGTTGATGGACATCTGGGTTGATGCCACATCCTAGCTACTGTGAAGTGAGCTGCAGCACACATGGGGGTACAGAGAACTCTTCCATATGCTGATTTCATTTCATCTGGAGAAGTTTCTGGGAGTGTGTTGCTTGGTCATATGGCAGATCTGTTGTCAAGTCTCTGAGGAAGCTGCTACTGTCTTCCGTAACGGGTGTACGAGTTCACTTTTCCACCAGCAGTGGGTTAGGGTTCCCTTTCCCTACATCCTTGCCTGCAGTTACTCAGTTACTGGTTTTGATGTTCGGATGATGACCGTTCTAACCAGGGTGCGGTGAGCCTCACAGCTTATTTGCGTTTCGCTGATGGCTGGTGATCCTGAGCGCTTTTTTCACGTGTCTGATGGCCGTTTGGATTTCATTCTTGGAAAAATGCCTTTTCATTTCCGTTTCCCATTTTTAAGTGGAGTGTTTGTTCTGTTGTTGTTGAGTTTCTTTAGCTCTTCATAGATCTTGGGTACAATCCTTTATCATTTGCATAGTTTGCAAATATTTTCTCCCACTCTGTGAGTTGCCTCTTCACATTGTTCAGAGTTCTCTTTGCAGTACAGAAGCGTCTGGTTTGGTGTAGTCCCTTTTGTCTGTTTTTGCTGTGATCACTTGTGCTTCTGGGGTGTTTGCCAAGAAGTCGATGCGTATGCCAATGTCTTGCAGAGTTTCCCGAATGTTCTCCTCTGGTGATTTGATGGTATCGGGTCATAGATAAGTTTTGGTGTATCCTGTAAGTGTGATATGTTGTGTTGTCATCTTTGTTCATTTGTAGGAGTTTTTATTTCCTTTTTTCATTTATTCTGTGACTCACTGATCATTCAGGAGGGTGTTGTTCAGTCTCTTTGTATATTTTCCAAAGTTTCATTTTTTATGATTTATTTATTTACTGAGTTTCTTAAATCATTAATATCCAGCTTCAGCTGGCGCCGTGGCTTACTAGGCTAATCCTCTGCCTGCGGCGCCGGCACACCGGGTTCTAGTCCTGGTCGGGGCGCCGGATTCTGTCCCGGTTGCTCCTCTTCCAGGCCAGCTCTCTGCTGTGGCCCGGGAGTGCAGTGGAGGATGGCCCAAGTGCTTGGGCCCTGCACCCCATGGGAGACCAGGAGGAAGCTCCTGGCTCCGGGCTTTGGATCGGCGCAGCGCCGGCCATGGCAGCCACTTAGGGGGTGAACCAACGGAAGGAAGGTCTTTCTCTCTGTCTCACTGTCTAACTCTGCCTGTCAATAAATAAATAAATAAAAGAAATCCAGCTTCATTCCACTGTGGTCAGAAAAGGTACATGGCGTGGTTTCAGTTTTTTCACTTACTAGTACTTGCTTTATGGCCTAGCAGGTGGTCTGTCCTAGAGAGGCTCCACGCGCTGATGACAAGCATGTGTGTTCCACAGCTGTGGGAGGAAATGACCTGTAGATGCCGACTAGGTCCATCTGCCCGTGGTGTGGATTACTGAGTTGCTTCTTTGTTGACTTTTTGTTTGTCTAGTGGATCTATTGATGAAAGTGGGGTATTGAATTCCCCATTATTGTTATATTAGAGCCTGTGTCTTCCTTAGGTCTGTTAACGTTTGTTTTAAATGGGAAGGCATCCTGGCTTTGGGTGCATATACGTTTACTGTAGTCACTTCCCTGCTCAATCGATCCCTTAGTACCCTTATCTCTTTTTAACAGTTTCTGTGCTGACGATGATTTTCTCTGACACTAGCGTGGCTCTGCCTGCTCCTTTTTGCCTTCCATTAGCAGGGATCATCTCTTTCCATCCTTTCTCTTGTAGGCAGAAAATAGATTTTTTTTTTTTTGACAGGCAGAGTGGACAGAGAGAGAGACAGAGAGAAAGGTCTTCCTTTTGCCGTTAGTTCACCCTCCAATGGCCACCACGGCCAGCGCGCTGCAGCCGGCGCGCCGCGCTGATCTGATGGCAGGAGCCAGGTACTTCTCCTGGTCCCCCATGGGGTGCAGGGCCCAAGCACTTGGGCCATCCTCCACTGCACTCCCTGTCCACAGCAGAGAGCTGGCCTGGAAGAGGGGCAACCAGGACAGAATCCAGCGCCCCGACCGGGACTAGAACCCGGGGTGCCAGCGCTGCTAGGTGGAGGATTAGCCTAGTGAGCCGCAGTGCCAGCTGATGGGTCTTAATTTTTAATCCACTCAGCCAGTCTGTACCTCTTAGTTGGAGAATTTAGGCCATTTACAGTCAAGGTTATAATTGATAAGTAACGGCTTGGTTATGTCATTTTTTTCCATAAACATTCTTACTGTTTGCTTTGGAATTCCTCTGTACTTTTTAAAAAATATATATTTATTTATTTGAAAGTCAGAGTTACACAGAGAGAGGAGAGGCAGGGAGAGAGAGAGAGGGAGAGAGAGAGAGGTCTTCCATCCACTGGTTCACTCCCCAGTTGGCTGAAACAGCTGGAGCTGTGCTGATCTGAAGCCAGGAGCTGGGAGATTCTTCCTGGTCTCCCACGTGGGTGCAGGGACCCAAGCACTTGGGCCATCTTCTACTGCTTTCCCAGGCCATGGCAGAGAGCTGGATCAGAAGTGGAGCAGCTGGGACTTGAACCGACGCCCCATAAGGGATGCCGGCACTGCAGGCGGTGGCTTTCCCTGCTACGTCACAGCACCAGCCCTATGGAACTCCTCTGTGCTTGTACTAGGAGATCTTCTGCCCTCGCATCCTTTTATGAAGAGGACTGTGTGTCTCTGTTTCAGTGTGCAGCACATCCTTATGTATCATTTGCATGAGTGGTGACAGATTTTTCCGATTTCTGGTTGTTTTCCAAGGTCTTTATTTCACCTTCATTTATAAATGGGCGCTTGGCTGGGTACAGTATTCCGGGTTGGCGGCTTTTTGTTTTAGGACTTGGACTGTGTCTCCATTCTCTCCTAGCCTGCAGGGTTTCTGATGAGAAGTCAGCTGTCTGTCTAATTGCAGATCTTCTGAAAGTAATCTGGCATTTCTGCTGTGCACATTTTGGAATCTTTATGTTTTACTTTTGAACGTTTGACTACGGTGGGTCGTGGTGAAGATCTTTTCTGGTCACGTCTGTTAGGAATTCTGTGTGCTTCCTTACTTGGACTTCCGTAACTTTCTCCACATTAGGGGATTTTTCTGCTGCCATTTCACCGAACAGGCCTTCTAGTCCATTCTCTCTCCCACACTTTCAGGAACTCCTAAGACCTGTGTGTTTGGTCGTTAGCCAGTATCCTGTAAATCTTGAATGCTATTGCAGATTTTTCTTATTGTTTCTTCTACATTTTTTTGACCGAGATATTTCTAAGGATTTGTCTTCCATCTT